AACGACAATCACGACAGATACTAGGTACAGCAGACAGACAGACAGCCCATGGGGCACCCGCTCGACAGAAGCCAAAGCGGGATGACCATCCGTTAGGCATCATGGAGTATACATACTACTTCATAGTATGAAGTATGTCTCGGTGAATATGAACAGTGAGCAAGTTAAACAGTTAACTATGCAGTAGTATGTCGGCCAACGGCCCAGCAATGTTCAAGTGCCAGCGTCTAGTAAGGCACTGGCAACCACTAGAGGATTCCATGGCGGTTCTGGTGTGAGTCTAGCGTGGTTCGCGGCGGATAAACGACTTGATCGGTGCTAGCACGCGGCATAGCGGTCCCTTAGCAGAAGAAGCCATCGCCTTCTCTGGAGATGGCTTCGTCCGGGACATGGTTAACACACACAGCCGGCGCGAGGAAGAAGCAAGCAACGGCCGGTCGGCCCCCCGGCTCAGGTCAAGCCACGCACGCCTTGCCTTGCAACGCCTCGCCTCGTCACACCCGCCGTCTCTTAATAAGCTTGTTGATGGTGTAACTGAGTTTGTTCACCGAAGGCGGAGGGAGAGTCTTCTTCACGGCTAGCTAGCTCTAACGGAGTCTCACAAGAACAGCGGAGTGTCTCTCTCTTACTGAGCAAAGTCTCGCAGTGTCTCTGGCCCTTCACGTGCTATGGCGCTAAACATTTCGCGAAGTTTGACACGGAGGCGCTAGACGACGCCTTCGCAAGCCATCCTCTCAAGCGAAGTCTGAAGTCTGCCCTTCGTCTCAACGTTCCCCGTCGCCCCGTCCGCCCCGAGGTTGGCAAGCGTGATAAGCCTCTGGGGGGTACGTGTTCCTCATTCTCCAAGAGCCACGCCAAGATGTCGTCAGGTCTCAGAGAGGCTCTTCCGTTACAACGCAACGCACATGGCGATATGCAGAATGCCAGTGCAGAAGAATGCAAAAAAAACGCTATTCGAGTCGCAGCCACAGACACAGATACAGACAACATGCCACTGCGGCCACACACAAAAACAACCACACGCACCAACTTGCTTGCTCTTGTGCCGGCGTTCATACATCGGCAACTCTTGCTCCCATAAGCCACGCGTGGTCACAAAACGTCAGAGCAGCCGGAGCTGTCACGGGCGGAAAGACTTGGGACGACATTGGCGGGACAAGACGTGACGGGGCCTGTCATTTGGTCTTCAGCAGCAATAACGGACGAGTCAACGCTTCATCCGATCGCATTCTGATGCACGATCGTGCCTGAGAAACCCTCGGAACTCGACGTCTTGTTCATGCCATGGCCCGCAGAAGAAGGGCAGCCCCCAGCCCTTTCTCCAACCCAGCAGTCTTCCCTGGCATCCTGTTGCCGTTCCGTGTGCATCCCATTCCCATTCCAAAACCCTTTCCTCCCATCTTGCCCCCGACCCTCGTCTCCAAGGTCGATCACGGACCCCTTTCGCCGGGGCAGTAAGGGCCAAAGAGAGGCACAGGCACCCTGCAGCGGACAGGGGAACGACGAGACATCGTGGTCGGGGCCCGGGGGATCATTTGTTTTGGGAAAGCAAGCACCAGCCCAGAGCAAGAATCACTCACTCACACTCACACACACACACACACACACACACAAGAATCCGAGTATCAGCGGCAGAAGGAGAGCAGAGACGCGGAGCCAGAACCCAGACTTGGTTCCTCTCCTCCCCATGGCCATGCTCTCCCATGCCCTGCCCTCATCCTTGAAAGGTTCAAGCCACCCTGCGCAAGCGAGGGGGGCTTTCCTGGCGCCCGAGCTAAACTGAAGATCATATTGAAATTAGCCTTTGTTTCCGACCGTCTGTTTCTCTGCCCCCCCCCCCCCCCCCCCCCCCCCCTTTCACACACCCTTCGCACACATCTCTCGCACCCCCTCATGCCATGGCAATATGGAGTCTTCCCCCTCTTCAGGAAACAGTCTCTCGGCGCCCCGTGTGCCCCAAATTCCCCTATCGATGCCGTGCCGTCTCTTTGACGCCGCCGCCGTCCGATCCTCTCCCAAAGATGCCCACCACCGATGGAGATAGACGGGGTCACAAGAATGTCGACATGTCAGAGCACACCGACGGCAACCAATGAAGGGGTTTATTGAGCCACTGACAGCAACTGACGTGCGCGGCCCTTTCGCACGGCCGCCGCTGCAAGCGATGTTGACGGCGCCGACTTAGCGGGAGCGCCGGCCTTCTGCGAGTTTGCGGCGACTACGGGAGAGCGTCGCTGGGCGCTTCTGGATGCCTCCCAAGCCACCGGCCGAGGGTCAGGGACTTCAGGCTGTACTCGCAAACTCTATCTGGGATGCGTCGAGTTGTCCTGGTAATTGCGATCATTTGGGCGGAGGCAGGCCCGTCTCTACTGGACTGAACTCAAGTTCCCAACAGTCTCCATTGTCCATTTCGGCCTGCTGCCCGACACGAACGCCTGGCGAGCGCTGTCAATCATTCAAAACCCAAAGAGATGATCTTCACACACGAACTTGCGGACGCCAGAATCCCGCCGCAACGTCTCTCGGCTTCGCCAAGCGGTAGTTGCCTGAACGCTGCGACGCACACACGACATGTTCAGAGCAATCCGGCTCTTGCCGTTGCAAAATGCGCCTCTCACGAGTGTCAACGCCTCGGGTTGGCTCGCCGCCAGCATCCGGCATGAGATGCCAAGACGTGCCGTTTCCACCTCATGGACTTTGCCGTTAAGCTTGTCTAAAAGAGCAGCAAGATGGGCGACAATCAAAACAGAAGAGCACACATCATTATGCTCTCTGCCGCTCTTGCCTGCTTGCCTTTCCTGTCCAACCCTGCAGCAAATCCGGAACATTATTGCAGTTAATGTCCCATGATCGAGGGTTGGGGGGATGGGGGTTTGCTGCCGTGGGTGCTCCGGCACTGACCTCTTCCACCCCGGATGAGCGGCGGACATCAACGTAGAAACAACATATCGTGTGCCAGGAGATGCCAGTTGAGACAAGATTGGGATCATCTCGCATCGGCGGCAAGTTGAGAAAGAAGGAGAAGTTTGGATCTGACAGCATGCATCATGAACATGCTCCATCCCACAGATCAGGAGGAATTCTGGAACAACGACACCAGTCATCCGAACATGGGACCCAGCACGGCACGTCGAGGCACCGTTGCCCCCTCTCGCAGCCTTGGGATGACGTTCTGGCATCTGCACACACGAAGCAGAAGCGACGAACGGCATAAGATCAGCTCGACACTCCGGTCGCAGCACAGGGCTGGCAGGGTATCGATGAAGCTCTTGGGGCCTCACACGCCGCACGCCCCCCGACGTCAGTCAGGCACCAGAGTCCCCGTTGCTCGTCTCAAGTGCGTGCGTGTGTGCGGAGCAGCAAGAAGAGTCTGTGGGTGCGTGCCCACGGCTGGCCATCCCCGTCCGCGAACACCAGACGCAAGATGAGAGAGCGACTATGAGAACAACCTTGCACCTTGTCTATGCCGACCCCTCGGGCCCCTGTCCCAAACACACAAGCCTTCGTGACAGGACAGGGGACACTAAACCCTGTCTGCCCCGTTCTCGGAACGGGACAGAGATTCATATTGGGAAATGGTGGCCCGAGTGGTGCCATGCATAACAGCTCTGGATTCGGATTAGCTCTGCGCATGTTAGCGTCCTTACGCACCACGGCCGTGGGAGGGGGGAGCATGGGAGGTGTGGGCAAGGGTGTGGCATGAAGATGTGTGTGAGTGAGAGAGAAGGGCAAGAGGGCGTGTGGCCAACACATGTAGGGGACTCTCTCAGTACATTCCCGTGTGGGAGGAGAACGCCTCCTCGTTCTGAGAGAGGCCCTGACGAGCGGCAGGGGTGCCATGGCAGACGGCTGGGGTGTCTTCTGGACCAACAGACCCTGCCGTTGCATAAACCAGTGACCGTTTGACCTCGAGCGATCCCATTGACGTTGATCCCAGACGGGGGCCAGTCTCCCTCGATCTCACCCGCAATCCCGGCTGCTGCCACAAGCCAGCAACACGGATACCCATTACCACCAACCAGCAGGCACTCGACAGTCACTCTCTTTTCTGCCCAGGCAAGAGGCAGACAAGACATTGCTGAAGTTCTCGTCGCTGCGTTTTGTGCCCAAGCAGTAGCAGAACAGCATCTTGATCATCACCATCATCAACATCAATATCAACATCGCTGAGGATCCCAAGTCAGAGAACACAAAGCGAACACCCTTAACCCCGTCATCCCATAATCCAGGAGACGCTATAGCCAGGAGGTAGGTTCAGGTTCAGGTTCTCTCTCACTCTCTTTCTTCTCCTGCCTCCCTCGTCGAGTCCCCCAGTCATGTCTACCTAGTACCGATGACCCCGTCTTCCCTCCCCTTGTCATTCAACCTCGCAGTACGACGAGTACGTACCATGTCGATGACCCAGGACGAGGACCTTGGACTGACCCTTGCTTAGCTGCCACCGACTACAACACACCCATGCCTTTCGTCTGGTCCCAGGCCTGGCGTAACGGTCCCAAGACTTATCCCACTCTCTCTGCCTCTGACCCACACACAATTTGTGACAGGCGATTGTGGCATCCCATCCTCCAGGGATCATCGTGTGGATTTACGCTTGATCACCCATTCCACTCTGCTTCGGGAGATCTGATATACTTGCCTCCCCCATCTGCCACCTCTACTCCATCCACCCACCAACAAGCTTCTTTGGCCTGGCCATTTCATACTTAAACTATCCACCCTCCCCTTCCCCTCGTCGAGTTCCTGTTCTGGAATCTTGGAATCCTCCGAACCAAACACAATCTCTAGTATCCAGCTGGCACTTGGGCTAATCACTACTCTACACCTAATACTTGTTGTGCTTCTTAATATTCAACGCCGACAACCATCGCCCTCTGGTCACTCACCAACCGACGAATACCATCAAGACAAACGACCAAGCAAGGAACTACTACTACACGCCAGCAAATCTCAGCAACCCAAGTCAGAAAAGACTTTTTTCAGTCCTCTAATCAGCAACAATGGCGAGCGCTTTAATATCGAACCCGTACGCTGCTCACCAAAGCGCACACTACGGCTACGTCCAACCGCCTCAACCTCCTCCTTCGCCCCCCATGGACGAGACATCAAAGCAGTGCTCTCTCCCCTCCATCTCGAACCTGCTCGGCCTCGCGGACCAGGGCTCTCCCACATCCGAGACTCACCCTCAAATCCCCCAACAAGGTACGGAGCGAACAGGACAACGACCAGCGAGCCCAGCAACACCCAAACTGACTCACGGAACAGCTTCCTCCCAAAAGTCCGAGACGAGACCAAACTCCTCTCACTATGGCAGCTCCGCGATGCGAGGTCTCCCTCCCACGCCGCCCATGAGCTCTGACGCCTCCTTCGACGGCTACAACTCGCCCTCGACAAGATCCGTCAGCCAGCTCTCCGTCGTCTCCCAGCCCCAGAGCAACTACTACTACGAGTCAACGCCTCCCCTCGAGGCCGACGCCCACCGCCCCATGGCTCCCGTCGTCTCGAGGGTCCCCGTCCAGGCCGCCTACGCCCAGCCTCAACCTTTCCCTCCCGCCTACATGCCCGCCCAGAACCCCATGGCGGCGTCCTACTACCCTCCCATGCAGCCCACGCCTCCTCCCCAGGCCCAGATCCAGGGCCTCTACTACCAGCGCCCTCTGCCCCAGCAGTTCCCTCCCATGGCCGCCGTCCCCGTCGGCATGGGTCCCAACCCGGGCGCCAACCCGTGGCAGCACCACCACTACATCTCCCCCTCCTCCGCGGCGTCCTTCCCCCAGAGCCAGGACCGCTACATCTGCCAGACCTGCAACAAGGCCTTCTCCCGCCCGTCGTCCCTCCGCATCCACAGCCACTCCCACACCGGCGAGAAGCCCTTCAAGTGCCCGCACGCCGGCTGCGGCAAGGCCTTCAGCGTCCGCAGCAACATGAAGCGTCACGAGCGCGGCTGCCACAACTTCGAGAGCGGCAGCAACGGCTCATCAATGTAATCTGTTGGATCGAGTCGCCTTGATCCAATCCATATAACGGACTTTTATTGTTCTTTGCTCCATTTCCATTACTCTCTCTCTATATCACGACCAACAACGACAAATCGGGGTTTATCCGAAGGGGATGGCTAGAATCAAACATGGGTTGGCACACACACACAAAGAGTCGGACAAGAGGGGTGGGCAACCGGGGGGTTTCCGGGTCCGGTTTCATCGGGAAAGATACCACGTGGTAGACGACTACCACGACCGCAACTTACAATCACGCCTTGGAATATCAACATCCACACACAAAATACATAATCAGCAACGAGGAACACAAAAAAACAACAACAAAAAAACCAAAAACATCAACGAAGGCCCTTGTGTTATCAAAAGGCGTTTCAACAATTATGGGGCGGACCCGAATTCGACGGTCTGCCCCTCTGGGAAGAAAGAGTACGAAACAGGAGGGGGACGACGAAATCTTAACTGGGATGAAATCGGAAGGGGAGGGGTTTGGCTTCTCCTTCATCGACATGTGTTAACTCGGGAACAAACTTGTTTTACTGGAGCAAAGAGGCGTGAATCATGGGGCTGGGGGGCAAAACAACTGGCAGCGGACATGAAGTCCCGCCAGGCAATGACAAAACTTGGCATTTACAGGAGTTTGTTTTTTCCTTTTCACAGAGTTCAGTGTGGTGGTGTGTGTGGTTCAAAGCCAAGTCGAGGTCCGGGTTCGTTTCCCCCTTGGCAGTGTTTTGGAGTGGTCTTTTTTACTTGACTTATTTCCTTATTACACCTTCGTCCTTTTTTGGTACAAAAATTATGTACGATTATGTGGTAATGTATATAGAACGGAGAAGAATCCTCACAGAATCGACAAGTGGCCAAACCAATAATCGTTCCGTTGCCAATTCTTGTGATATGTTGCATCATCGCTGGCAGCAAAAGTTGGGGCTCTTACTTGGTATGGGGAATGGGGGGTGTTCCTCTTGTGTAACCTGGTCACATCTTCGTCTCAAGTGTTGTGGCGCGTGTTGCGCTTGCAGGTTGTGGGTGTTCGTTTTTTTTTTATTTCCCCTCTTGTCTTAAGGTGGGCTTGTGTCGCAGTGAGGCGAACTGTGCCTGTCACCCCCAGCAGGAGGAACAGCACAACACAGCAGAAGGGCGAACAAATGACCGAAGAACCGGCTTGATCCGAGCATCTCGCGCATCTTCCTTCTTCCCAAGCGAACTAACACACAGACATTTGGTAATCACAAGAAACATCAATTTTACTCGGTTGAGACCCAGTGAGTTTAACGCATGAGACCGGACGGAAGCCGCGCCGATCGCTTCATCGTGAGATGACAGGTCGCTGACACATTTCGAAAGGGAAGAAAGGGAAAAGAAAAAGAGCATATCCGAGTCGAACTCCTCGGCCCTTCTCCGTTCCACCCCTTTTCTCCGCGGCGATCTTCTTCTCTAATTGGGCCTGCTTACCAGGTTTGTTCCGGATGTGGCAGCAAAAGTAAAAAAGCGTGGGTGTGGTGTGGTCTGGTGTGTGGTCTTTCTTGATGCCGCGGAGAGAAGTGCGAACACAGACGAGACTGAAGAGGGGAATTGATGAGCACGGCAGAGCAGGGTAGGACGGGCCGGGGTTCGGGCGTTTTGGGGGAGGAAAGGGCAGATGATCGACGCTGCAGAAGGGTGTCACAGCCTTGGGATGAGACAGTCAAAAATTTACGCTTAAAAGACATCCAGCCTTGAAAGCTCGTTGGTTGCTTGCTTGCTGTTGTTGCTGTTGCTGTTGCGGCAGTCGTGCCGTCAAAGCGAGAAGCAGCCGTCTGAACAGAGTTGCTTCGGTAGTTGTTGCTTGCTTTTCTTCTTCTTGACTTTCAACCCCCCCTTCTTCCGTTTCGGCCGGTCTCTGGCGCGTGCCGATGATCCCTACTTTTCAAGATAGTCCCGTTCTTCCGACGAAAGAAAGGTTAGAAGAGGGGGGAACATGACTTGAGAGTTTTCAGCTGTTTAGCTGCACCGTTGCTGAAAAAGTCATGCGGGGAGTTCAGCAAACAGCATTGGTTGAAGTTTGTCGGTCTGTGTGTCCGTCGTCGCTCTTTACGATTTTGCCTCTCGCTCTTTCGCCTCATCGCTCTTCTGTGACTAACTTTGGGGGACACACACACACAAATCTTACTTCTTCAGCCGATGAAACGAACTGGAGACCCTCAAGCCCGGTCCTGGTCCCGGTCCCGGCCCTTGCCTGACATCCCATCCTTATCCCGTCCCAAAGTTGACCACCAGAAAAGAATCCCCTTCAGCTTGATCATTCTGATACTGCTACTTCCCTCCACGCATTGAACGCACTGTCGTTGCGGCTCAGTCGCTGGTTGGCTGTCCACCTGCTCTGTCAGCCATGTATAATAAGGCTTGATGTGTCTCGTGCACGTCACGGAGTGGGCTTTTCTTGACTTCATGTTTCCAGCCTGTCTACCTGTGTGTCCGTGTGTCCTACTTTCTCTAAACTTGCTGCTGCTGCTTGCTGCTCATGGTCTGCTGTCTGCCGCACCACACACTCTTTCACTCGCATCAGACACCAGACGGGCCAGGGTTTGGGCAGAGAGTGACTATGGTAGGTGCGCGCTGGGAAAAGTCTTGGCCGCGACCAGCGATCTGTTACGGGGGGGTTAGGGACTGGAGTGATGCTACCTTGGCCAACTTTACATCAGCTGCAAAAGAAAAGGGGATGCCTTTTGCCTCTTGCCTTCTTTCGAATTGGGCTACGAATACTGCGTACACAGCCTCGTTCAGCCAAGAAACCCCAAGTTGACGGTAGTCTCCTCTTGGGATAACCGCCGTAGCAGTGCTAAACGCCGATGCTACCGCGGGACAACTGATACATGCAAAGTCCGAGATTGTGCGAGAGACTTTGCTGTGTGGGCACGGCGGCAGCAAGTCCCTCCCTCCAACCCAGCAGTTCGTTCAACCGGTCACGCGGCTGGAAGAAATGAAAGAAAAGGTACATCTCGGCCCACGGCTTCACTGGCTAGTCCCCATCACTCCTTGTGTCTCCTCTCCGATTGTCACTGGGAAGTATAGTAGAAGGACCACCAGCTAGGGAGCAAAAGCTGAACATCTGACAGGCTCAGCCAGCACGAGTAAGTAAGAGGGTGCCAAGAAAAGTGTACAAAAAGGGCAGTAGCAGGTGTGGGGTTGGCAATTGAATGGCAAGGAATGCCGCCACGCCGATCTGCGTGCGATTCGGGGTGAGGTCAACAGGGGGGAGAAACAAAACCTTCAACTCTAAACTGGGAGACGAGATGGGGTGGTGGGCAAAAGGGCTTGGTTGATAGGATAGGCAGCAAGCATTTTTTTCAAGTTCGTTCGTTGGGGACAGCGCCGAAAGAGAGAGGGACAGGAAGGTTTCCAACGCGACGGTGGCATTTGGAGCGGGAACATGGAAAGAGGTTGTTCTCCTGCTCTTCCTCTCTCTGTGTTACCTAAAGTACCATTGGAGGCTGAGTTGGGGGAAGTCTCCGGTCGCGGTACTTTGGCGGAGCCGAATTGACGTTTCCCCCTACCAGCGTTGCACCGGGCTCACCACTGCAGCGTGTTCTATTGGAATTAAGTGCGTAACATTGGGGACAGGATGACACGCCCAAAAGCCGTTGCAGCGTGGGCTGAGTCCTGCCAAGGGATGTTGTGGTTGGGGAACAGAAATCGGCCATTAAGCTTCTCGTGTCGTCCTGACTCGGCCTGCAACGTCAAAGTCTCTCTTCGGCGTTGACATGCAATATCAAAGATGCCAATATGGACAGGCCGGACCAGGTAGGGCAGGCCACGAGAAAGCATCGTTAATGAGACCTGTTCGTCAGTTTCGATCCATCGTCCTGCCGCGCGCGCCCCTCCTTTTCTCCTTCGTTTCGTCAGGTCATTAAATCTCTTTTCACCTCAATCAAAGAAGAATTGAGACTTCTCATCTAATGATCCGCCCGGAGCCGGGGGAGGGCATGGGGCTTCGGAGAACCTTATGTCTTATGATTTGCCCTAGGGTGCATGTCGTGAATGACTCTGTCGAGGAAAAAACAATGATCAGTGATTTTCTGCCCGTCATGAACTCTGTTTGAACACATCAATATTTTAGCGAGCAATCATACTTGTTGTTGTTATTCATATTGGAACGCTGATTGCCGCATGGAATGGATCTCTGTTTTGGACCCTCAATTCATCAATCTGCATTCATTGGCAATACCAAGCTTTTGCTTTCGCTGGCGAATCTATTGGCTTAGGCGTGTGTGTCCATGTCTCTCTTTCGCACATCTCCCAATTGTGCAGCGCTTGCCGATGTTTACCCACGGCCGTGGAGACCTTGTCCGCCTAGACCCGAGAGAGCCGGGCTGCGCAATCTCGGGGGGGGCTTATGGACGGGGTGGATCTCACGCGCGACCCCCGAGATGAAGGGCTTCCAAGCGCCGGGTCGCAACTTGTCTTTTGACGTAGCGGCGTAGTAGCGCTTCTGCTTCGACGATTGCTTGACATTTAACATTATTTTGATCGTTTTGTTATTGTTATTACTTCGACACACTTGTCGAGCAGCCCGACTCCCTGCTCCGTGCCTGATTTACCCGTTGGGTATTCCCTTCAGGCACGAACCCAGTGCCCCTCCGATCAAAGACTCGACCCGCATAGGGGTGATCGCCATTTCGCAGGCCGAGACAGGCTCGATGCCTGTGGCGCCAGGCACGAAAGGTCTTTGCTGGACGCAGGAACGGCGGCGGCGTGGGAAGGATCTCGCTGGTCTCTGAATAAAGATGGGGGTGGGCTGACGATGACATATTGGCGGATGACGCCGGCAAAGTGGATGATTGTTATTGTTCAACGCTCGTCCTCTCGCTGGGCAATGCTTGCCAGAGTCTTTACGACCAATGCTTGCTTCTGCTGACCCTCGAATCTTGAAAGATTGAAGAGAGCAAAGTGTGTCGAGAAAGTGTGAAGCTAGTTTGCTGCGCCCCATGTCTAGCATGAGGACTAGTGTAGCTCCCCTCCAAATGACCTTCCATCCTCGACGCTAGACGCAGACCAAAATCCTTCTAGCCTGCGGTGCGATCCTCACCGCGGAGGGAAGACCCTTGTCCATCCGTGCGCCGGGAGGAGCGCAGCGGTGGCCTGTCTTTGCCGATTCTTGGGAACGCCTAGGTAGACACAGCCCGGCACCAGCCCGCGAGCCCGTCCTCCCAATGACGCCGTCCGCTGTGTACGGCGGCACTATATGGTAGCTCGACGAGGCTGGCTAGTCTTCTCAGACTTTCTGGACATAATTCGACACTAGAAAGTTGGAAGGCCCGGGCCAAGAGCTGAGATGGCCTGATGTCCGGATGCATCCCCTTTATCGCGTCATCAGCGAATCTCCTCCAAGACTCAGCATGAATATTGACAATCTCGTCTCCGAGCAGAGACCCTCTGGAGACCGCCGGGAGGGCTCGTGCGAAAACGAAGAAGCGATCTATGCGTTTCTTTGACGAGGGCGCTTGTCGTTCATGTCGGACTATGATATGGGAGACGCGGTTGTAGGGTCTTAAGAAACCGCTACTATTGAGGCGTGCGCCCCCGGGTATTGTTCCTGACGTAGTAGCTGGTATGCTCACCGTTGCAGAGGTGTCAATCGGCGCAGCCCTCCGCTGAAGATGAATAAGCCTCGCTATAGCAGGGACCGAGGGGTCAGCGAGATTGCTGAAGCACAGGTGCCAGTCAATGGAAGGGGGATCCCATCCGCCCGGCACGAGGTCCGTCTCTTGTTAACCGTAAGAAAGTTTAAGCAGGCAAAATCCTTGCCAAACTCTAACAGGGGGTCTCGCTGTTGGTCAGGCTGGTCATGTTCTTGCAGAGCCGACTCAGGACCACGCTCACCGTCATTGGCAATTGCTCCTCAGAGCCCAGCATTCCCTGCACTGCAGAACCTCAGACGATTAGTTGGAGGAGCCGAGGGGTGAGCGAGGGTGTGCAAGAAGGAAGAGGTACACCTGTGCTTGGCTGTATATCGAGGGGTGGAGGGTGATCTCTGTTATCTTTCCTAGCCTTTCCCTGTTTGGTAGCGTCCGTTCTCCGGACTTTGTAACGTGCGACAATGCTACACGACCACGGCAGTTTGTCGCTTTGGGGAAGAAGAAGGGGTTGTGCGCCGTGCCGCCTTTCCAGCGTCGCGGTGGCGGGAGGGGAGAAAGGGGATTAGCAAGATTGTCACGATCCCAAGGGAGTGTTACGGCCCCATCGGCGCCGTCACGACGGAGAGTCCGTCGAACTAAAAACCAACGTTAGCGCCGGTCCCTTTCCAATGGTAATGAAGACCAGCAGCCGATGCGGGCCCCCGTTGGACCGGGCCATCTTTCGACCGGGAGTCCCTTTCCATCCTTCATGCTGCCCATCAATACTTCTGCCGCTTCTGCAGCGGCCTGCCTTCGTCTTAGCCGGCAGGCTATTGGCCAGGTTGAGTCGTCTGCGAATCGCACGCCTGCCGCTTCCCACCCCCTCGGCGTGGATGGGGACAAATTGCAAAGTGTTGGAGAAATGGCCAAAACCACCACACGCAAGTTTCAAGATTTTCATCTGATCAACTCTGTCCTCCACACCGAGGTGTGTCCAGGTCGTCTCTTTTTTCCCGCCTCCCAGTACCGCAGAACGGTCAGGCCTGGGCTGATAAGGCTAGTTTAGCGTGAAAGAGGGCGGTTCAGACGGAGCGGCCAGTCGTCGTCCGCAGATTTTCTGCTCCCCCTCGCCTGTCACCAGCCACACGACTGAAACAGTCAGATGAAAAGAGACGAAAACCAGCCGATGCCTCGCTTATGCATCATGAGAGACGTCAACGTTTGAGAGCGTCGCCAAGCGAGCTCTAGCTCCAATGCTGTTACGGCACAGACGGCGTTGAACAACGGGGGCAGACGACACAAACGGTCGTTCCCTTTGCTACCGCTCGGACGCCAACGTTGCGATGTCACCTAAACGCCAACTGCAACGCCATGCGCTAGAGAAAAATGGGGAGACGACGTCGAAAAGAGGACAAGACGACACGCATCCCGACTGTTGAACCCCTGCACCGGAATCTTGACATCCCATCTGCACCCCTTATGCCCCGGACGATCCTAGATCAACTGATCACCATGATCAACCCCTTCGACAGCTGCACGGCGCCGTGGCTTCCAAGACAACCACCGCACCGGGCTCTCAGTCTGCCAGGGCTTCCAGAGCGCACTTGTCAGCGACTAGCCAACTGCCGGCTGGTCCTCTCATTTCGTGCTGTCTTTAATTCCCTCAGAAAAGCCACCGCGCTCTCTGAGCCATGCGACAGTGCATAGCGAAACCGAGCGGTGAGAGACATTGATCGTCGAGGAATAAGAAACTATCAACTCTGAAGTTCTTCTTCAAAGTCTGGGCCGACGACGTTATTTTCCCACGGCATGCCTTGCCGTGGCCTTGTCTGCAATGCGTTTCCCTTCTCCGCCTGTGCTCCGCACCCCCCAGGGCCACGCCGCCAGGGCCAGCATTGAGAACGGCTGTTGCGGCTACGCCCTTGACTGGGTCAACAAGCTCAGAAAGCATGGCAAAGAGCCTCTTGATGTTCGAATGAGGATGAATGAGACAGTCAAGTTTGGTAGAGGCGGAGAGACCCTCGTCCAGGTCTGTGACAACCCTCCCGTTTCAGGTGGCTGGGACTGGGTTGCTGCACGCAGCCCTCCTCTGAACTCTTGACAGGCGGGATCGCGGACGCCGGGGCGAACTTTGTGCTGCCCATCACTGGGAGCTCCCGGGCTGTAGCCTTTGACTAACCGCTTTGTAAAGCGACCGAGCTTGACTTTGAGTTTTAGGTGCATTTTGCTCGCGCTTCGCCTTGTAATTGCTTTCTTATTCTTGTGCTATAGAAGCAGCGAGTAGGTTTGACTTGGGCACAGCAATTAAAAACCGCCGACCAGCGAAACCGATCGACGAAACTTTGGACGAGGCCAAGTCTAGCTCGTGGATCGCCGGACGCTAACGCAGTGCCGGGTGGGTGTATCTGTGGGGGGAAGGGAAATGGCGAATGGCAGTGAAGGGGACGTCCAGTCGATAAGATGATGGAGGCTCGCACCCCTGCGCCGACGAACGACAAGGACGACGAGACGACGTGTGAACGGTTGGCGGAAGATGCCGCCCTGGCTCCTACTTCGGCGCTGACTTCCCTTTCCTCTCCAGCGTGGCCTGTATTGGATGCAAGGCGTCTCATGAATCGAGTGTGACGCACGCATGCACAGTCCGTCTCATTGTGCATGGCGTATGGGCCACCCCTTTCGTCCCAACTTGTGCCCCTTGCCAAATTGTATTTTATCGCAAAGCCGGGGAATCCCATTACGTTTCCATGCCGACTCCGAGCGAGCATGGGTGCTGCCAGACCGTCTTTTTGGTGGATGCGGCCCTGGTCATGAATATCCTCAGAGGGGGGAGTGGCTGGAAGTCCATGATAACTCCGCTTCCAATGGCCTGCCTTCACATGTAAGGGTCACGGGAAGAACGCATTCCGTGAAGGAAAACAGGGGAATATGGGAGGCAATAATACCCTGAATACCGGGGATTCTCGGTTTGGTAACGTGTTTCGAGAATCTCCTGGATGAAAGATCGTCGATAGAGTGTGCAAATCCCCCGAACCCTAAACCGGAAGCAACAGGCCTTTATTCGCAATGATCCGACATATTACGCAGTGCCGGTAAATCATCGAGGATGGCGGTGAGAAGCAAAGTATCCCAAGGCCGTGGAGCAACCCGTGGAGCAAAGCAACAGACGGGGGCTTGTCTCGTGAAGGATGGAGAGGGAGTCCGGTAGCGACAGTTCCGTTCAACAGACTCTGTCCTAATTTTCAGCCTCCCGCGATCCCCGCCGTTCGCCTTGTCACCACCTGCCATCAAGGCGTCAAGTTTCGTCTGTATTCTGTCTTCTACGTCAAACTTGACACAGGCTATGCCGTTGCCACTGTCAGGCGGGTTGAACGCGTGGCATCTCATCTTCGCCGGGGAATTTCTAGGCATCGCTTAGGTCGTTTTGGTCTCAAGTTGTTCAGCCTGCCTCGATCTGACAGCCGAGCCTCATGCACTCTGCCACTCATCCGAAAGGAATGTGGGATGGCCAAGCATGTCGAGGTAGCGTTTTCTGGCACAAGACGCATGATACTCTCGACCCCCGTGTGGCTCCGTGATGCTTGTCCTTGAACCATGAACCACCTGGAACGAAGAGCGCGCCAGGCACCTGTCAGCCCCGTGTGGGTTCCCGATGCGGGGGACAAAGGTCGGAGGCTGGCTCGTCCGGGCGCAAGAATAGCATCTTGTCTGACGAAAGAATGAGACATCGCCGGGAAGAAGCCCCTGCTGGCATGAAGGATCTGTTGAGGCTCAAAGCTTGGCTTGTTAATCTTCTTTCAATGTCAACGACTGTCATCACTTGACGGGCGGGCCGACTTGTTTCGACTCGTCGCCTCCACGGTGGCGGCGTTTCAACTCTGTAGGTTGCTTGTGTATATATCTTGGCGACATATAGACTATAGTGACAGATGGCGTTTCTTGACAAGGCTGTCTTGACGCCCTGGACTGCCTGTGCTCCGACAAAGTATCTCTCAAGTCATATCTTGTACAGCATCTCTTCCCGAGGGGCGTCTTAATAGCTAGACTGATCGTTCCAGTACAGAGTCTCATGATAAACCCTGCATATGGGTCAGTGTACGCGTGCTATGGTGATCCAGCCAAACCTTCTCGGCTTGATATACAGATGAAGCGAGCATATCGCAGGATGGAACGAGCTTAAACAGGATGTTGGCAAGGGAAACTTACTCAGGTCCGGTAGCGTAGAGTGGCCAACCAAGCTTCAAAGTGATGTACTGGATGAGGTGGCTGGCAACCTTGATCTGCCCGACATCCGTGGGGTGCCACTGTGGCGCGATATCGTTGTGCTGCAAGATGCCGGTTGTGTTGAAGAAGTGCACAAATGGCTTGGCTGGTTTACCTGTGGTAGATGTCGTGTTGGTGATGGCATCCCAAGTGATCGGGTCGCCGAGATACTCCTCCGTGTTGAAGTACTCATACACGCTGTACACTTCGTCTCTCAGATCCGTGTTTTGGCCGTAAGTATTTCCATCTTGGAAAAAGCCTTGCCACATTTGCTGGCCAAGTCAGCTTGAGGGGCTACATTGAGGTGAGACTTGTTCACACCATGATGATGACCTGTGCTTCGGGCCACTTTCCATGAACGCCCTGGATGAGTTTCTTATAACTCTCCACATAGGTAGACTTGGTGACATTGTTCGCGGCGTTGGCATCGTTGGTTCCAAGGTTGATGACGACGAGGTCTGCAGCTGGGTTTCTGGAAAAGTCCCAAGGCTCAGGGGTTTCTACATTCGTCTTGGTCAGTTGTGTGATTCTTGACAATAACCCAAGTTGAGAATCGGGAGGGAATCTCGGACTCGAGGCGGCAAAGGCTATTTGATGCCCAGGCGTTAAGGCATAACACATACCTCCCCATACCTCGGCTGCCCTCCCACCAGTGTCAGATGTGTAGAACCATTGATGGGACTGCCCTCGAGGATTTCCCCAGCAATCTTGATCAGACACACAGATGCCTGGATACGCTGTGATTGAGTACTCAGTGTTTCCGAGACCTGCACCGACGCCATACGCAAAGCCCGCCAGAGCTTCATACGTGTTGTACATGCCTGCCGATAGACTGTCGCCAATGAATTCGACCCGACGTGGGTAGTCTGGAATCCTGACAAGCTTCTCGCCGGCAGCCACATGAACCTTGTCAATCTGTACTCCATATGCCCAGTTCGTCACTCTCATCTCGAAAGTAACGGGGCTGATGGGACCTGTGAGTTCAATTCCCGGCGTCTCGGGGCTCACAAAAAGGTGCGTGGCGCCCGCCGTGACATTGGTGTGCATCCAGTCTAACCCAGCAATTCTGTAGGCAACCAGAGTGCTGTTGATCGTCTCGTTGCCGAAAGTGACAGCGACGCTCTGACCTGTGAAGCCAAACTTGATGCCTGGACCGCTGCGACATATTAGATACTCAAGAGTTTCTGTACTTTGGGGAGAGCAGACTCACGCCCACCAAGATATCATCTTGGAGTCCCAACGGCCCTTGTAGGAGATTTCTTCCGCGTCGGCATTGTAAGTCTCATACTGGCCGTCTGCTAAGTTCACTTTGGTATCCGGGAAATCAGTGATTCTTGGACGACCATTCTCAAGAATAGTTGCTGTCACGGCAGATGCGCAAAGCATGAGTGTCGCTAGTGATGGAACGAACATCATAGCTACAGGTGCCTCTCAGTCAATCGACTGGAGTTGTAGAACGAGTATCAGCTGCCTTAATCAACGCAAAGGCCATGATGCGCGCAATTGACACTTCTTATATGAATGCGCGGCCTGCAGCTATGCCTAGTTGATGTTGGCCCCTCATTGCGATATCGACTAGAGATCCGGGACGGCATAATAAGGACCGAGATGAGCGGGAAATCCGTCACTTTGGCCCAAGACTTGTTGGGGTGCATGCAGAGAGTATTCCGGCTATTCGGATCGCGAACCGCTTCCGATAGCTGATCTATTTTTGAGGGCAAACAGCGAACCGTCGCCAAAGTTGCTGAGGGATGAACACGCTAGAGGTTCTCTCAAAGTGCACGAAGTTGCTCTCTTCAAGCATTTTGACAAGACGCTTCTTGTTCTGAGCAGGTCGAAACCAAACAATACGAAACAAAAGAACCACGGCTTCGGTAACCAACAGCTGGCGAGCCTCAGTCAGCTGGGGTTGTCGGATTCGCGATTCGGCTCATCGCTAGAGATATCCGGCGGAAGGAGACACTCCGTGTCCAATTGGTGCGAGCATGTGGTCTGCAAGGTGTGATGTAATGTGGGTCGTCGGCGCAGGCGATCTCCTGCTGAGAGGGACGTGGATTCCGGGGGAACATGTGCGCCAGTCCGGACCGGCCGCACGGGGCGGGGCTTTGGGGGCACTGAAGGACGGCAGAGCCGTTGGGTTGTATTGAAGCTAGACGGGTTCACCTCTGGGGAAGTCGGCACTTTTTAGCGACAGGCACCTATGTGCCAAAGCCGTAGCGTCCGGTCTCCCTCAGGCAACGTGGTGGTGGGTTGGCCGGGACACATGGTCATCGGCCTTGTTCTGTGTGCGCTCATCGGATGGATGTGCAGACGCGCGCGTAATGTGAAAAAGCCAACCTTTCCTGGGTTGGACGTCACATAAAATCCAGGAGAGAATCAACAGATGAGGGCGGCTAGCAGCAGCGATCGTCGAGATCGAGGCTGACGCCTACGAAGCGCTGAACAAGGGGGAGGGGGCTCCCCAGAAGCAAGCGCCCTGCAAGGTCCGATGTGATGTGCATACGGGATCTCGATGATTGCAGCAATCAATCTGGCTGCCCGCGTCCTCTGCATATGACGAGGTACGGGATCGCACATTTAAGCAACATTTGACCTGCAACCGTAATGAAGGTCGTGCGTTTCAATTGGCGCTCGTCATCGGGCAAAATTGTCTTTTTCTGCATGTTCTCCTGGCATGGCTTGTTAGCACTCGACCGACTGCTGCTGAGAAGAAAGGTCCTACCAACACCAACACGAACCACCGTCAGGCCACGGAGAGTGCTGATTGTCGAGACGGTACGGAGGTGAGGTGTCTGAGCCACGTGTGAGGTGTTTTGAATATTCCGCAGACCGGTAGTATCAAGTAAGGTAGGACGCCGGTGAAGTAGAAAAATCAGGTGTTCGGCCAGCAAACACGCTACAAGCAGGCGGCGTCGAGTTCGGCGACGCCTGACGGTAGCAGGCCGTGTTCCCCGGAGGGCCGGTTGGAGGATGGAATGAAGCTATCATCCCTGCGGCAAGCTTGCCCAGCGTGACGAGTCTCAGGGAGAGGGCACTGGCCGCCTGGGTATCCCCACGGGAAAGGAACAGATCCCTTTGGACAGCTCGGTTGCCGTGGCTCGTGATTCTGTTCCAAGGTTTCGAGACGAACAGACCGGCAAGTTGCAGTCGTTCATTGATGCTCCATCAAGGTCCATGTCTCTCTTCGCAGGCGAGGTTGCGAGGTTGGGATGGGGAATTGCGGCCGAAATGAAGAAACGGTGTGAGCCAGTTCAATTTCGGGGAACTCAGAAGATGCCACCCGGTGTTCAGCGCAGCGCAGCATCGGGGACGCGCACAAGGTGAGAAGAAGAGGTTCGGCCGAGGGACATGCATCAGGAAGAAGATTGCCTTGAAAGGTTGGTGGTTTGATAGAGGAAGGCAGGTACGAAGCAAGGTACCTACCTACCTACCTTACCTTACCTTAAGTTACCTAGGGAAAGAAAGCATCAGGTGCGCCTTCCTTCCTCCCGGGCACTTGGAATTCTGGCAAGCGCGACCCCATCGTCACACCGAGCTGCATGGGCCCAGACACCATCTACTTCCTTACCTTACCTTACCTGCACTTTCCTACCTCACACTCGTTGCTCTTGCTTCCTGCCTCCTTCCGTGTAAGAAGGCGCCAATGACGGGGCCGACCTCCCGGTGTAGCTTCCTTGACCGTGTCCTCACCTTAAATATCGTCCCTGCCTCTTTTGCCTCCTCGCATCCAAGGCGACCTACCGTACGTACCTGGGGGCCTTTGGTTCTTCTACACGACTCCTCTCGACTTTGGCTGCCTCTCCGTCTCTCGCCGCCATCATCGTCCTCTCTGACTGCTGCTTCTCACGTCACCTCACCAACTAATTACCCGACAACCCCTCATTTCCTTTGAACCATCCGCAACCGAGGTGTTCGCAGTGTGCGTGGTGTCTCAGTTGCAAGATAGCGCAACGATTCCCTCCCACCAGCATCCATCACACCCACCGAAATCCCATCATCACGAGCGCCGTCAATCGCCATCCAGATAGGAAGGCCAGTAATCTCTCAATACCACCACGGCGGAATCCCGGCGCTTGTCTCGAATTAACAACAGCCCCGAGGGCTGCCACACTGTTCCTGTTTCCCTCTGCACACCATCTGCATCTGGAATCATTCTCCCGCATCCATTGCGCGACTTGATGCTGCTGGAGGCTCGACACACTGGAAACCTCAACCAACAACTCCCTGTCCTGCTCTCATTGCCGGCTCAATTCCCGTCTCGTCTTCGCCATTATTAATGGCTAATCACCCAAGACAAGCCCTACAGCCACCTCGCATCAAGTTTGCTTTTTGCGCCGCTGCAGCATTACATCGTCGCCGTCACTAGCAGTTGCGGCGTCCCAGGACGTGGGAGATCGCCTGTCAGCTGATACCGAGCTTCCTCCATTGCGCAAAGGGAAAAAAAGAAACCACACCCGCAACCAAGACATCCAACAAGTCCTCGCTTCTTCCAATTCCCGTGCCGTCATCAGGGACCGTCTTTCCTTGTGTCCCTTGCGCGCCGACGCTTTTGCGCTCTTTCCCCCCCAACAGGTCATAGCGGCCGAGACCTGGCCCGGGCCTGAGTTTGGGTCACCAAAGTCGGGACCTGTGCGGGTAGCAGAGCATCGCGGTGTTAGAGCGTGCGAAGTCACCGGTTGTGTATCACCAAAAAAAGGTCCCTGACTTTCAAGCACTGTCTCTCGGGCTCCCTCCTCCTCTTCTCTTGCCCTAAAAACCCCCCTCCTCGAATTCTATTCCAAGACAAAACCTCTTGTCTGCGACTCTTGGCTACGATCATCTCCGTCTTGCGAAATCCTCCAGCCTTTCGCGCTTTCGCAAAGCACTCGGTGCCAGCACGACGACGAGCCTATCGATCCTCCTCACCCTTCCCGGGCTCGAACTCCGACCTCCGACCTCCAGCAATGCTCTCTGTTGCCTCCTCGAGATCATGACTTTGTGCGCGCTGAAATCGCACAAACAAAGGCCGCTACATTTCTCTGCCCCAAGTAAGAGCACATGCTATTCGTCGCATCCGCAACCGCAGCTGCAGCTCTCTCTTCCGCCCCCGACTGTCGTCGACCCCCTCCTCTCCCTCGAACCCCACCTCCGACAGGCACAAGACTCCGAATTTCATCGACGCCGCTGTAACACCGCTGGGGAAGGAAGTTCCATCGACCATACCCGTCCCACACCGAGGCGCATCACCCACGAACGCTAGTCGAGCAACCGACCAACTGCGCACGGTGCGCTGCACCGAGCCATGTCGACTACCCATACGAACGCGGTGCCGGACTCGCAATTGGGGCTAAGCTATGAAGAGGTTCAATTACTGCGCCAAGGCCAGGCCGCGCTGGGCCAGGGAGCTGGAGGGGGCGGTTCGAATTCGTCCCGCGCGGCGAGCCGAGCTTCATCCCAAGGCTTGCTGCTGCTGGACAGCACCTCTTTAGCAGCGCTAGGACGGTATTTTGACCGCGTCATGAACCAAATCGAACAGCAAATCATCTACCTCAGCGAACAAAGCCAAATGTTCACCATGGCTCAGTTCGACCGAGCAGGCAACCTAATCGAAGGCGCCGACGCCGAAATACAGCGTTACCACGAAATCCTCCGGCAACTCGACGAACTCGAGCTCGACTTCGATCGAATAAGACACATCAAGGAGATTGTGAGGGGATACAGATCCAGAGTTGAAGAGATGGAGCGTGAACTTGAACGAAGTAGTGCCTCGTCTTCACGGCACAGGGAGGGGCACCACCATTCCTCCCACCGACACGGTCACTCCCACCGCCATGGCCATGAAAGCTCCCGCAGACACAGGCATTGAGTTGCTTGGCAAGCTGCGTACCTGCAGACTTGATGGCCCACGATCTCAGCTGGCAGGAAGCTTACTATATGGACGTCCTTACACTGTGCATGGGGAAAACTCGTCTGAGGATGTCTCATATTATGTTGGGGGTAAAATGTTGGTCACACGGCCGCCAAAAATCACAAAAGGTCAAAAGGCCCCTCGTCCCAAGCGGGAACACACAGCACCGCGGGAGCAGGCGCCTGAGCCACACTGATGGCGGGGCTTTCGTGTACTCTGGGTTGTGCGAAAAGACTACATCAATGATCAAGACGGAGGGCCTCGCGGCTGGATAAGATGGAATAGCCTCACGGCTCGTTGGTTTACTTTCATGGCGTTGAATTTTCTTTCCTTGTCAAGCCTCTATGTTTCGGCGGTTCATGACGACGTTTTCATCAACAACTCGGTTCTTCAAAGCTGGAAAAATACCCATCTTCCTTTGTATTGCGAAAAACAAAACTCAAGCCTCACGGCGATGTAACATGTTTCGATTCTGTTTCGATGGCAAGGCCAGCTTGCC